AACTACTTAAAACCATACATAAGGACTGAAGCTATCTGCATATATAGAGAAGCTTCTCGATGTATGTAACAATGCTTGATAAGTGAAAAGAGTAATAAAAAATCCTACTCAAATCCCACTTCACTCCTACGGCCTCCTGGGTAAGGCAGGCCTAGACAGAAAGTTATCACAAAAGACTTAGTTTTTACTGGTTTGTATTACCTTTGGCTAGCACAGCCTGTACTACTCCAGTGGAAGATGTCATACAGCCCCAGCAAATACTGGAACAGTCACTTTGGAACAGCAGTGAAGCCAGAAGCTTTTAGTAGGTGCTGGAACAAATTCAAGTCTCATGTCTTTGCCACCTCCTTCCCTCTCTCCAAGTCAACGAAGTGAATACAGCCCTTCATTTAAGAATGAGAGGGATTCACAGACAACTCAATAGTCCTGTCACAGCTGCAGAGATTTTTTCATTATCCAATTACTAGGGAAATGGTCTTCCTCAAACTTTGCATGAATAATGAATCAGTTGGTCATTGTGGGGAAAAAAAAAATCACTGTAGTAGATCATTAGTCTTGTTATCTTCTGGGGTCACAACCTCTCACCTGCTGTAGCTGAGCCTTATTTCCAATCCATCCATTTTACTAATCAACCTTCGTGTTGCTCAATCTACTCTATGGTATCATCTATGTGTTTAAAGGTTTGATGTCTCCTCTAGAGCCTCCTAGCCCTTCCCTTTAAGTAATTTATAGTTACCATAGTATCCTACAGCCTTCTTAACTGCTTAATATCAAGTCTCTTGTGTCCAGCTACCTTGCGTTCATGCTTGTACCTGATATGCTTGAAGGGCAGGGCTTCTGTGGTGTCATGTTCTCCTCTAGAAAAAGTCTTTCCTAATTTCAGGCACTGAGAAAATTCAGTCTTTGTCCTCCTCCACAGAAAAGGTTATTTCTGGTGTACTGAGCCAAGTTGTGAATGTCTCATCCTACCACCTAGGTTAATGGTGCCATGTACCCATGCTCTGCCTGTTCTTACATACAGGGCATATAGTGGATGAGAGACTGTTGGGTCCTTAGAAAGAAAATCTTCTGGCTTTCATGTTAGCTGGCACGGAAGTGTTTGTTATAACAAAGCTGTAACACCTCAGCAGACACCCAAGAGGTCTCCTGATGCCTCTTCTGTGCCTAAAAATGGAAAAGGTAAGTCCAGGTCTAAGCCTGGGTCTCCTGTAAGATTTCACCGTTAGTTGAAATGTATTTTCTTTTTCAGCTTTCACTATCCTGACCTAGCTTTTCCTAATTTTCCTACTGAAATATGAAAAAACAACAAAAAATCAGTAAGCATTTTAAAAGTCAAGAGCCATCATGTATACTTCAATGGGGAACCTAAGGTTGATGTTTTGTTAATATGACTCTGAATATGAATTTGGGGTGAACTACTGAAAAGTAAGCTAGCCCCTGCAATACACTGACCATTTCACATAGCATCCTGAATTCTGCTCTGCTGCTGTTAACCTGAGCTTGCTTCTGGAAAGCAATACTGCCTGATGCAGTCCGGTTTTGGGAAGAGTTGCTGAAGTCCGCTTTACAAACCATTACTGAAACAAAGAACAGTACACAACCAAATGAGACACGGTGCATCAGTTAAGTAGTGGAGCATGATGAAAACAAATGAAACCATCTGAAAAGTGAGTTGAACAATTACTTCCATTCTTCTTTTCTAAAAATCACTGTAGCTACAGGAGGGTAGCATCTTGAATAGTTAAGTGCCCCTCAAATACAACATACAGGCAAAACAAGAACAGTCCTTCCATATTAAAAGCATTCCTGCTGTGTCACATCACGGTGCCTGCGTAAGCCAAATTCAAGACTTTTTATTGTCAAGAGGCACTACCATTACACTACATTTTAATACGGATCTTTGCCAACAATCATAAATAAAACCCTCACTCATAAACAATTCCTAAAGGCAGTGTGTCGGATAGTATTTCATTAAAAGAAGTTTGCTGCAATGTAGTGGAATACCACAGGCCATGGCCAGTTGGGCCTTTCTTTCCCCTGCATATCTCTAGGTGTTGTGTCGGTCCCCAAAAGCCTTTTTGGTTAATGTATGTCATGCCTACCAGAAGTTCCTTCTTGCTAATGGATGAAAAAACCACCGCTTAAAGGTGGAGAAAATCAGTGCCATTTTCAAGAGGTGTTTAATGTGGGAAACCTGTAAAAGCTGTCAGGGCAAAAAAATTGGAGAAGACAGAAAAAATTGTAAATGAGTTACAAAATGGTGACAGGAAAAAAATTTTGTCAACAACCTGGTGGTTAAATGAAAATAGTATTCGCTAAATACCTTTCAAGATTAAATCCATAAGTGACAAGATATTCAACTGTACTGGTCTCTGTTATGTAAATTCTGAGATTTTCATGAAACAGAAAATGTCTCTTGACACTTGATATTCTTCAAAAGTCTGTTGCATGGATGGAATAACTGGACAGCCCTTCTCAGACTCAGCAAGAAGATGAATGTTTGTTTCCTAGACTGCTGTGGTGGTCATAGCAATAAACACTTTTAAAAGGCTTTAATTTAAAGTAACCTGTTTTTTCTGCTCTCCGGACTACTCCTGTATCCTCAGGGATGAGCAGCTCACTGCATACATTTGGATGTGTAAGGGCTGACTTACTTTTACAGAAAGCTGCACTTAGTAACTCACTACAAGGCTGACATCACTGAAACAAAAGTTCAGTAGTGTAGGGATGTGGCAGAGGTTACCGTGCAGCATATTACTAATATACTGGGGAGAAAGATTATGGCAACTGCCTGCTAGTGTCCACATCCAGGATGCAATCTCCCCAGGGGATAAACACTCTTGGCAGGCACTGAAACCCAGAAATCTCCTTTGCAAAACTGTCTGCAACTTGCAGCCAAAGCTATCTGCATACGCTGGGACCCAAGACTACAGTCCTTGACAGCACACGGCTCCAGACATTTCCATGGGGCAAGTTTAATCTACAAAGATGTAGAAATGTAAAACAAAGTTTTGCTCAAAGTAACTGTTTGTCAGATCATATGCTTCTAATTTGGTTTCCAGTGACATTACACAGCTGCAGCCAATGGATTCCAGCCAGGCCCCGCAGTCACCGAGGTTCTTTTTGGTTTAAATTTAGTATCTGAACATGTTTTGCCCATCATTAAAATGGAGAGTAATGCTCAAAAGTGAACCGTAGATGTTACAACTGCAAAGAACTTATTAGGTCACCTAGTCCCATCCTCAGAGCAATGCAGGATTGAAAACACATTGCAACAAATACTGAGCAGAGCTGTGTTTGTTTTCTTTTCTTTTTTTTCCTACTATTTTTTTCTTTATTGTAATCATTAATTGGTATATTTAAAGGTTTAAAAAACAACCACAAATGCCAGTGTAAACATGCTTCAGGTATATAAGTAATATAAAGTATTGCACATACAAAGTCCTATGCTCCGTATCTCCTTATGGTGCTATTTCATCAGAGGAAGAGTTGTGCCGATGACGTGACTGTAATGAGCCAGTGATCTAACTTCACAAGCCGCTACACACAGCAAATCAATATTTACAAAAGCTAGAAGCTCACTGTCTTTTTCATGGGAGGATGATTTTGCCTGGAATGTGTGGGATAGAGAGGTGTGCAAATATGGGACAAGCTTGCTTTGTGGTGGTATTTATCTGCTGATCTCTGATCTACACGGGATCACCTCAAACCCATTTGGGGTGAGTGGTCTGTTAGCGGTTTTCTGGGAGACCGGGAGGAGGCCAGGCCTCCTCATCTTCAGAAAACGGAGGCGAAGCACCTCCATTTTCTGAGGCATGTGTCTCATGAATTCTCATGGGCACACTGCACCTGAAGAGCTGAAGACTCCACGAAGGTCTTCTTGCAAATTTGCCTTAGGTATGAAGATGGAAGGAAACCTGCTCAGGTTTCCTAGCTCTTGCTTGGATTTCACAGGTCTGTGTGCAAGAAATGGTAAAACTGTAACATCTCCTGTCAGACTGACAGAAGTGACAATGTCTCGTGGCTAGGCCTCCTGTCCTCAAGTCTTAGGAAGCAGAAGGGCAGCTACCTAAAAAGAACCACACAGCATCAGAATGGATGAGGGCAGTTGCCGATCAAGAAGCTGAGATGGATTGGGAAGAAAATGAGTTCAGGAGAAGGAAAGTGTGGTGTATGTTTCAGAAAATAAACAATCCCTCCTGAAGTTCACACATTATAGCTAATTTCAGTCGGCACCGAAGAGTCAAGCTTTCAGGCGTGAATGTGCACAGATCAGAGCTTAGAGCCCCTGCTGAGACAGGGACCATTTGCTGATAGAAGAGCAAGAACAAAGCCTCTCTTCTTCAGAATCCTCAGACCAGAAGAAAATGAAATCTTAAATGTGTATTTTTACTCTTTACCTCAAAATATCTTTCCTTCTTTTTGTTCATGCTTGGCTGGCTGTCGTCCTGTTTTTCTGCATAAATACAAATCCTGTCCACCTTCCCTGCAAGACTTTTCTTAAGAAATTATTATATTCAGCCTTCAACTTTGCTGAAATCAACACTTTAAATATGCTGCCAGCTTGCAGTCTGTAAAATAAATTAAAAAAGGCAAAGATTTCTTTAGGTGAACAAAGTGTTAGGGAATATGACACAAGTTAAAGAGAAGACACAATGGCAGTAGCCATTCCATTTTCAGAGGCCATTTCAAGAGAGTAAGAGGGCAACGGGAAAGAAAATTTATCCTAGCCCCAAACCTCCAAGCCTTCTCCGTATCACCAGTGTGGCTGTGATAATTTAAATCGGTGTTCCACAAATGACTGTATCCTTTGTCAGCTGTACAGGTGTCAGCCATCAGCAACGCAGTGAGAGGGTAACTTGTTGCCGGCTCTGCGGATTTAGTTATCTGGGTGTGACACTGCCAGCTCTGGGCTGAAAGAGATACATGATGTTCTTGTTTATCATATGTCTTATCTTGTAAAATGTTGCATAAATCTGCTTTGCAAAACCCCTTGTAGCCAAGAAAAATGTGTTCTGTGTGTGGAATGGGTTCACTTTTCTATTTACATGCAAGGTAAGTACATGATTTCTATTTTTTTTACTTTCTTTTCTCAAAATCTAAGTTGATGATTATATCAGATACTTATCCTGAAAAGGTGGAAAAATAAATAATTGTGCCCCATCTATAAAGTTCTCTATAAACTACCTTTGTTTTTCAGAAGTACTTCACAGTACTGATATATTGCTTGTCTCCCTGAGCCATAATTTCATAGAAGTTCTTATTCTTAGGGAGGTGTCAAAGGCATTCTGCATGATACAGCAGTGTTCAGAAGGCTTGTGCCTGTCCATCTTCGAGACAATACAGCAATGCAGGTGTTCTCTCCTTGGGAGATTTGGGCTTGTTCTGGAAGCATCTCAGTATATACCACACGTGTTCAGAAGCATCTGCTGAAATGTAGACTGACAGGAGCGTGGGATAAACATTCTGCTTGGTGGTGAGTAGTTTGTAAGGCAGTGATGAAGCTGCTTTCTTTGGCAAGGATGGCCATCATGTGGCATGTTCTCAGAAGGTTGCATAGATCAGATTACGACACCGTGTCACTTGCAGGAACAAAGGAAGACTGGTGGAAGGAATCCTTCATTTAATCCTCATCATGTTTCTAGTCTCAGGCAGAATTCCGACTTGAACTGTCACTCTCTTCCTCTATGCATCAGTAGTTTTGTTATTTGTCAGTTGTTCCCTGTCAGCCATGTCATCTTGAGGAGGTCTAGCTCTGTCAAAGAAGCCACACTGCAGAAAACAACCAAGAAGTGAAGGTGTCATGGTAAGACAACCACAGGAAGACTCAGCTGCAGTTTGATTCTTCACTCAGTCAGCCTGAAAGGTCTGTACAATCTGTGGCAGGCTGACAGACTGTGAAGCTTTTTTGTTTCTATTCAAATTGTTCTCTATGAGAAGTTAAATGTTTAGGTGCAAGGCATTGAGTTTCAAAGCACTGCCTTAAAAATTCAAATTAAAACTGTCTTTGCAGATGTAAAGTTGGTCTCACTGCTGATATGGACTGACTCTAATGAGAAAATTGCTAATTTCAGTTCAGCAAGACACTCATTCAGAAAAGATATTTAGATTGACAGATAGTACTAACTACAGAGGTGGAGTATCTGTTGGGAAATGTGCACAGGACAGTGTTCTGGCCTAGACGAAAGATCACTAAAGACAAAATTCTTCTCACCTAACTTTAACTGCCTATAAGTTATGCTTTTGGTCAAAAGGTTGGAAGTTATGTAGGCTTCACAAGAGGTCAAAGGAGAGTACCATCAAAAAGTAAGGCCTCTCATCCTCCCATGGTTTAGACATAGCTTTTCCTGTTCTTAACTGACCAGGCAAATCTGCAAAGTTAGCATAGGTTGGACGCCTAACCCATAACCTTTAGGCAGCTAAAGGCAGATGAGCCATATCCTGACTTAAGAAATTATTTTATTTTTTTTTAAATTGGAACTGAGAGCGTGGCCAAAAGCTATGTTGGCTCCCTATAATATAGCAGTTTCCTGTAACTTGTGAAGGGAGACCAACACAGAACTTGAAAACTTTAACAACAGAAGATGTGACATACTAACATAAGAGGAAAACATCTAAAAATTAATTCTCAAAGCTGGGAGTGTTGTTACATGCTGACAAAAACTGGAAATTCCTGAAGTATTCAGAGAAAACAAAGTTAGAGTCACTTCTTTTTGAACCTAAACATCCTGAAAAAGAGGATCATAGGTCTTGGGAAACAGAGCCAAACTCTGTCTGCCCATTTATAACCAGACCTTAATAATAAAGGAGAACTTTGAAAACAAGTTCCTTGCGTAAAGGTCAGTGACACCAGCATGTCAGAAATGCCAAAACAAAAAAGACACATGTGTATTGTTGCTTTAGCTCCAAAATGCTACAGAACACAAAATTCCAGCCTTTCTTTTCCTTGTCTGTTAGTATCTTCCAGCATCTTTCAGGTTTTTTTTAAAGGCAAGAGTAAGAGTAATAATGCAACATACCTTCCATAAAGCGAGGGTCAACATGGCTAATACCAGTAGCCCAAGAAGTATCGCTAGTATTATAACCCATAAAGGGATTACAAAGGAGACATTTGGAGTGGACCAAATGACAGATGTTCTGATCTGAAATGAAAAGAACACATTAAATGAACACAAATTAAACAAGTAAAGCAAATATGGCAGCAGAATACAGAGGTTCTAAGCATTCACTTCAACAGCATTTTGCAGACTAGAAATATGCATTGCTTGGAATTCTTCCATGTTCGCTTCATTTACTGCAAGGTCCTTTCCACTTGTTCATGATAATTACTAGAAATGGGATTTACACATATACAAAAGTCTTGTCGTACCAGACACAGGAATCATTTTCACTTAACGCAGAGAAGCAAAAAACACCCTTCTGTGCAGATGCTTCAAGATTCGAAGGGCAAAGTTCTACTCCTGTGTATGCTGGTGAGGCCTAGGCCTGTGTAACTAACTGACTTACGCTGAATTACTCTGAAACAATGGTTGACTTCAGCCCAAACTCTTAATTCAAACCACAATAGATACCAGTTACATTTTTCTTATTTTAATTGCTGCTGACACACCAGTATACGTTTTTTCCTATGACTTGAGTTTAAGCTAAGCAGTCCAAACAAGAAACTCTGGCAGAGTGCATTGTTCTTGTGATACAGCCTAATGCACAGTTTGGTGTTAGGCTCCTTAGAAGAAGCCAAGCATATGCACAATTACCTAAATGGGAAATAAGCATGAAACGCGCTCTCTCATTGTCTGAGGCTCTAGAAAGCAGCAGGTGTGTATAACATGAGTTACCAAAGGTTTTAATTGACTTGGCAAACTTCTCTCTTTAGACCTTCATCTTGACAAAGAGTAATAATAAACCTTCTGTATTTCTTCTTCTGAGTCCATCCACACAAATAACCTCCTCCTCACTCTCCATTCCAGACCTTGTACCAAATTTATTCTGCACTCTCAGACTCTGCTTGGAGAGCTCCTTGTCAGTCTCACTGAGTATTTGCTCTCTCCCTGCTGCTCCCAAGTGGGAAGGAATGAGTTTGAGCTTTCCTTAGCTCCTCAGCCACAGTTATGTCCCTTCAGTTTTAGTTTATTTTGTCAAACTTTCCTCTTTATTGTTAGCCTAGGAAGTTATTTCTCTCTGAGCATTTCTTTTGGACCTCTCTCATTTACTCCTCATCTCCCTCAAACAGGATAAGTATGTGACAGATGGAAGTTATTTTCTTCATGACAACATGGTATCAGTTTGCAAAGCAAACTCTTAAATGATCTTCCTCTTCAGTGCTTGAGGTACAGCTAGAAAATCTACTCTTCTTAATAAGTTCCTTGGCTATTGCCCAATCCCCGATCTGCACTCCTTGCAAATTCTCTTTCCACTTGGTTTTTTTGCTATTAACTCACTGGTTGATGCACCTGAAGTTTCGCAGAATGTTAATTTGTTCATTCATGGAACAGCATCCTAAGTTTGAAGACTAAACACAACTCCATAGTCCAGTTCAAAATCAATTCCATCTCCGTGTCTCCCACTTTTCTCCTTGAAGATGCCAAGTTTCAGCCTTTCTGCAACATCTAGCCCTTTCCTCTCCCATGCTTTCTCATGATCAGCATACTTCCCAAGACTTTTCCTTCTGCAAGTACCAGCAGACCTGTCTCTCAGATACTGTCATGCCTAATTGGAATGCAATTTGGAATAATCCTTTCCACTTACTTCATCTGTGCAGCCAACTGCCCCCTACTCTGACACAGCACTTAGAGAGATGACACCCTGGTGAGGTCTACTGATGCCTAGTATCAACCCTCACTGTTATGGGATACAGATCACAGCTGAAATTAGGGACAGACTTTCTATTTAGGATACCACTTGCCTTCTACCAAAGCTTACACTGAGGGTTACACAGAAAATTCCGAGACAGTGCCCAGTCCTGGGGTTGGCACTTAAACATTGACCTAAACTCTGAAGATGAAGTGCTTGCAGTGCTGGCCATGCCTTCATTGATCTAACAAACACATACTTCTCTAGTGCAGCTGTAAATAGTTATTACGCTAAAAGACTTCAAAAAGATAGGATCAACAAACAATAAATACCTTAGCCAATTAAATCAAGAAAAAATTATTTCAAGACAAACAGAATTACTAAAATACCCATGAAATCCCACCCTTAGTCACCCAAGATATCTTGCTGGTGTGATCAAGTGATCAATTATGCCACTTCAGGGATACTATTCCCATCCCTAGACTCCTCTTTGGGTTGCTTATTAACCACCCGAGAACTTCATCGGCTCTCTGTATCATTAGATTCAGTAAGACCAGTCCTCATTTAGTGAGGACAAAATGTTCTTGAATGCCTCTCCTTGTGTCTCAGAGTGGTACTGTATCTGGCATTAAAATGCAAGGGCAGAGAAAATGAGATGCAGGTCATCTGAACTGTCTGCAGAGATTCCGCCCAGAGAAAAGCCAGTTAAGGAAAAAGATGAATGGAAGTAAAAGGCTTATCTGGCCTTACATAAGAAGGGATGCAGACATGATGGGCTGCAGAAAGCCTGTAGCAAGCAATGAGCTCAGCTGCCCAAGAAAGCAAGCATCCCTCTTCTGTTCCTTGAAAATCTTCATGAATGCTGCCCTGAGGCAAGCCTTGAAGGCCCGATCACGTGGAGAACTAGAGTTGGGAAGTGCTGATGAAAATTCAGTGGAGCCCAGGACAGCAAAAACTGAGACTGACTAAAAAACCCCAACTCATCCACACTGTGCACTTCCTCTGCTGGCAAAGGCTGTGGTACCACAAGCAAGAGGTTATCATTTTTTAAAATTATTATTTGAAAAGGATCTGAAACTATCAACACACAGTGTTTATACCTTACTGACACAAGGTTTGAGCTTCACTACAGTTTCTGTTCAAACACTATCACTTGTCTGAGCATGCTGCTGTGGAGCTGGAGCAGTGAAGTGACAGACCACTTACCACAATCATCCTAACCAATATTTGTAAACAACTGCAAAAAGCAAATCCAAGCAGGGCTTTCTGTCCTCACGTCAGACAGAATGACTGACTCCATTTCACAGTAGGATCAAATCCAAGGGAAGACCCGCTTGCTTAGATAATTTGATTTAGCCATCAGTACTGATAGCTTGAGCTGAAATCCTAGGTGGCACAATGTGACTGAGATAAATGCAACAGGAAATGAAGTCAGCATCACTGCTCCGGGCCGGACGGTACAACACCAGCAATCCAGAACAAAGAGACTCTGGCAAGCTGCTGGCCAGCTACGGAGGGGTTGGTAGAGAACAGTCTACTGAAATTGTATGTCCTGAATTGAAATTATCAGAGTGGGCAGGTACTTCTGTAGGAAGGATTTTTTGTGATGGTACCTGACTTAACCACAGCTGTCTCCTTGGGCACCAAGGCCATGTTCATCCAATCTGAGGCAACGAATTCAGCAACCCAGGAGCTCTCAGACAGGGGTGAGCCAAGCTGCTGCCTGGTGTTGTCCAGGACCTGAACAGCTCACTGGGCTGCCTGCTGACTGCACAGGAGCACAGCAACTAGACTCCTAAATAATGTGCTGCAGTTCACTGTTCAAAATTAGGGGGGGGTCAATCCAGACCTCAAACCATGTTTGAGATACTGTTGAAATCAGTGGAAACAGTTGATTTGATTAGGGATGGTGGATTTCATTAGGCTTTGGATAAAGCTGATAGTAGTGTAACTACAAGTAGCTATGCAGCTATTCCATATTTTCTTTTATGCACCACTTCCTAGATGTTCGCTGCATTTGCATGTTGTGTTTTCTTTCCTCTTAGGCTTTGAAAACATTAAGGCAACCTGCCCTTCTTATGATACCTACAGAGAACCTATCAGCGTGGATCCAGATAAGGACACCTGGGTCTTCCTGAGGACACACGGTAACCAGTTGGGAGTGGTGTAGCAGTGCTCAGCCTTGCTTGTACTGCATGGGTTCATAATCCTCTCTCCCTTCTTCCTTCTGTCATTTACAGACAGTAGAGTGCAATTTACAGTGTAATTTCAGTAGCTCCGCTGGAGCCTGACAAATGTTGAAATATAAACAAGAAACTGTAATCTTGCAGAAGAGCATCAGGTTTATAATCCTTAGATTACCAGCAATGGGTAAAACAGACAGCAGAAATTCGGTCTGTCCTATATTAAGCAGGATGCTGCTGCAAAACTGCTGCATCTCTCTTCTCTTGCAGCAGGAGTGAGGCCAATGGCTAATGAAATATTCGCCTGCTAAAATCTTAAAACCATTTTGGCACACCCACTCCCTTTTCCCATGAATCCTTCTTTGTCTTAGGTTTTTGAAAGCAAGGGAAAGGTTGTGCTAAGTGCTTGAGATTTATTTCCTGAGCAGAGGATTATATGTAGTCGTCAGTCTCACTCCTGCCTGTGTGTATTACCAGTAGAATGTAACGCCCCGGGCTGCCTCCTTTTATACAAAGACTTGCAGGGTTACTAATGCAATGCCTGGTGAACAGTTTTGACACTGCAAGTCCTGAACACCCACAGAGCGGAGGCAGAAGCTGGAGGGGAAGAAAGAAACAAAGCATCCTTTCAGTTTTGCCTGCCTTGTTTCACCATTTCCACAGAAGACTCTGTCTCCTCCACCCCATGCTGTCCACAACAGTTTTACATATGATTTTTATTTAAGACAAGTTTGCATTATTCAGCTTGGATCTCTGCTCTTCTCCATGTGGTAGGTTTAGTACTGCAGGATTAGAGCCAGGGAATGTTTTGGGAGGGATTTATCTGTTTTCATCTAAGGTGGCCAGTATGAAGCAGTGGAATTTGTACACATGTTGCATGTTGGCACTGTACTTCAGATGCACATCGGCTTTCCTCTCCGTCCAAGGCTAGAAGACTTTCTTACACGGAACGTTGAAAACAGTGGTGGCTTCTCTGTCAGGCTGGGGACAGACTTGACCTCACACACTTGAGAGAAGCCATCTGAATTTTGTCCTTTCCCACTACCGAATCTCTCACACCTTCTGTATGCAAAGGGCTGACAAGGAATGCCATCTGGCTCAAGCACTGAGATGAGGGTGCAGCCAACTTGAGAGTTACAGACAGAGCCTTTGCCTGCTATTGGAAATAACATCCACTGTCACTGTCTGATAGTCTTAACTTCAGAATCACTGCTGTGGTTCCATGAGTCATCTGTTGCTCACAAAAGTAATTCTATAGGGGGGTATTTTATTTTGCCTTTTTCATAACGTGCCACAGTTAAGCACATTTTAAGGAAAGAAAAGAAATATTAGGGGGTTTGCCACTGATTTTTTACAGTTTGGATTTTGCTCCTGCCTTTGGTGCTACTCAACGTAGCTTCAGAATTGTCATTGATCCCAGCAGAAGGCAGCACGATGCAGAGAGAAACGTGGGGTAAGCTGCTGGTTCATTGGCTGGCCCTTGTGGGAATTGTTCTACTGGTGCAAACATCCAGCATCAGTGGTCAGAATGCAGTGCCTGGTAGGAGTGAGATTCTCACAAGGCTGTATTTTCCCTCTTGTCCTATAAAAGACACACTTAAAAAAATAAAATTATCTCCTCCATTGTTCAATCTTCTACTTTAAGAAACAGTAGCTAAATTAATTATTATTCTAATGCTACCCTTTTTACTACCCATGATGACCTTACTCTAACCTTTACTCATTTTGATTACAGAGGTTGAGAAATGGGAACTCTTAGTACTCCTACACGTTCCCATCCAACCTTTGCAGCATGATGTTCTTGTATGTTCTGAAAAAATGCTCAAAATAAAATGTAAACCAACCTCTGAGCTTGTAGTCATAATGAATATTGACATTTATATTTACACTTTGCAAATGTTTGTGCAAATATCCATATATGCAAATATATTTCATAAGGAATATAAGCCCATTTAAAATGAAACTACTCGTAACTGTGTAATAGTTAAAAAGGAGTTAAAAGCCTTAGTCTGAAATCAGTTTTACTCACTGCAGGACACTGGTCAAACAGTTTATGCTAAAGGCATTCCCTCTGAAGATCCTATCAAGCATTTAAAAAAAGCAGTTATATTTTATTAAACTCCAAAACTGGCTCAAGAATCATAAATTAAAATGAAACAAATTACTGCTTATTCTAACTCTATACTTTTTACAATAAAAAACTATTATTTCACCTTGCACATGAGATTAATCATGTAGGATAGTATTATTTACCATAAGAATACCTCTAGGAAAAAATGTCAATGTTCTTTTGAATTATACAGCTGTTAGCAAGGAAATACAACCAGTTGTACAATATATAGTTGTAATTCAAAGCCTATCAAAATCAATAGAAATATTTTTATTGATTTCATTGGATTTTGGTTTAAGCTCCAAGCTAATTTCCTGTTTGATGCCATTTTCATTCTAATGTTTTACTATAAAAGATTTCGATTTTCTTACATTTACATAACCTTTCACACATCTATGTATAATGACCTTCTGTTCAAGATGCAGACCTGTATTCCATGATGATGGAAATAAAGACCTCAGTGCTGCAAATATGTAAGCACATACCTACATGACTGTGTAGGTTACCAAGGTGTATGGGATTACTAATACCACCAAAAATACATATACATAGCAGCCTGCAAAATTGGAACCCAGTGCTGTATGAGTTAAATGAAGGACATATGCTCTGTTCTTTTAGAATATATCCTCTTCACTATATAAACTTTAAGGTGTTGGCTGACTATTAAATCTATACTTTTGACAATTAATTTAAAAATATTAAAATCTTTATTCCACTTCCACCCTTGCATTGTCTGAAAGAAAACCATAAACCTCCAAATAAATCTTTGGAAACTTTTAAAACACAACCAGTGATCTTTTTCAGAAGGAGCAAAAATATTGAGCATTGCTCAACTTCAAGCAAATATTTCTTCTTGCAAGGGGAACATCAAAAGAGCTTGTGCATATAACACATCAAACTGTAGAGCTGGCAAGCATCCACTGCCATGTCCAGATATGAAACGACATAAAAGCGCTATCATTTTTCAACATTTTACAGTTGCCATTACAGGCATTTTGCTGTAAATCATCTGCAGCAAATAACAAGCATTATACTGGCTGGAGTAAGAGAATAAAATGCTTATCTGATCATTTGGTAGATCATCTGACACTTGTTGAGAACAGCAGGCTATCACCTGGGGTAAAGCACTTCAGTCCAGATGAAGGAACCACTACCAACAGAGTTCTGCCCAACACGTGTTTCTGGTATGGAACACATTGTGCAAGAAAATATAAAGAGCCTGAGTATATCTGTCAGCTTGGAGCCTTTGAACCTTTTTGGATGAATACTGTGTTAAGCATCAAATCTCTCTGGCAAAAGCATGGGTCTCCTGATGTCAGAGGTTGGGAGCATATAGGACCAAGATTTCACCTTGTGTCTTCCCAGAGCCAGTATCAGTCAATCTCTGCCTGTTCAGAACACAACTTTACAACCCATATCCTACAAAATATATTAAATGTAAACTGTGACGTGTTTTATTATGTTGGTTTTCCATATAACAAAATATTCTGTTCCCTACTACTACATCTCAACAGACATGCTATGATGTATCTGCACTAAGATTTAACTGGGGAAAGTTTGTACGAAGCTTACGAAGCACTTCAAAAAGTAGATGATAAATCTTTACAGAGGTGAGAACAATAAACCTTCAAATTTCAGATTACTCTTACACTAGAATAAAATTTTGCACTCATATTTTACTTACCTCCATCAGTAATGACAAAATAGAGTGAACTTTAACCACAGTATTGGACACCGTAAGAAGCAAATTCCTTTAAATTGCTCTCCAAACTCAGTGCTTTGGCCCCAGCAAAAGATTAAATCAACTTACACCTCCAAGATTAATTTTTCATGTAATAACACAGGGACACACGAATCTCGCTCTACAAATAAGGGAAATACTTTACTGTCTCTCGATCACACCTGTAGGGTTTACCAGGTAATTTCGTACCTTGCACGTTACGTGCTGTGAGGCGGAAACCCCAGAGAGGCACGCAGCCTGTTCTGAAAATCAGGGTATCAAAGCAGCTTAATACAGGTAAGATATGCCACAGATAATCTGTAAAGTTGTGTGAGAGAACTGCGGACTGGGAGAAGAGTGAGATCTCTCAACCTGACAGAACCAAGATTTTGGATTTTGCATATGAATTTCCTCCAGAATTTTTTTTACTCTAAAAAAGGTAATTGGAGACTTGCTTTCACAGTTTTGCTGTTTTCTTCTGAGTGAAAAATCCATCCTGCCTGCAATACAGCTGTCTGCACATTAATGCAGCAAGAAATTATTTAAAATTGGAATTAGTATCATATATCAGCAACTTCCACAGAAAGCAGTAGAGGTATTTTCTTTAGGTGTTTTTTCAGGAATTTTCACTAGAAACACAGAAAAGACCAATCTCAGTATTTTAATCTATAAAAACTTTCACAGCTGTGATCAGAATTACCAAATACATGTGCTTCACACAACGATATCATTTCCAGTTACTTACTGCTATGCTTCCCTCGGGGAGCTTTGCTGGTTGCATTTTATATGGCATGCTCCTAACTTTGAAGGACACATTGGAAGAAAGAGTATAGAGATCATTCTTTCTCTGAAATTACATTAAAAAAAAATTATTAAAACCCGTGTTTATTCATAAAAGCATTATGAGAAATAAGCAGAGAAAAAATACAGAGCACTGATTTCCTAAGGCAAAGACGGTTCCTTTTGGTTACGGGTACAGCAGTCCTGGGACCTGTGTGTATCCACGAGACAAAAAACAAGACAAAGATGCAAAGACCGCATGTTCACATGAGAAGAAGGGTTAGACACACAGACAGACAGACAGTTGTTTGTCATATTTCACTCTGAAATAGCAGACTGATGAGTTTGAATCAAGGGGGAGGTTTATGGGGTGTGTGTGTTTTAAAACCTAGCCTCTGCTCACCAAGCCCAACAGCAAATGTGGGTGTCTTGAGAAGATTTCCAGGCCTACGTTGAGACCAGGCTGGTAGAGCTCCCTGTTGGCATCAAAAAGGAACAAACATCTAAAACACTAAAAGGAATAAACATCTTTGCACTTCACTTGAGAGTGTGATTGATTTCCTATTGCAGCAGAGCTCAAAACCCCAAAACACCTTGCTTTTTCACTTCATTGTGCAACTGCAACAGGAAAGTACAGCAGTCATTGTTAAACTGGCTGCCTAGTAATATATTTATGTAGCTCTCGTTAAGCACTTCAACAAATGAAAAATGAGAAGTATCTGCCGAAATCTGTCGGGAACTGGCCTAAGGGCTGACATGTGAAAGTACATGTCCCTTAAAAGAATCTCAATGGTTGCAACATATACTAGAATGGATACAAGTATTTTCCATGTGCATATTTTGAATCCTGTTGACTCTTGGCATCATCATTTTCTAACTGGAATTAGTTTTGAAGGCTAAGAACATCAGGTATCAAGTAAATCTCGCAGTTCACTTTGAATTTGACATCTCTCTATTTCACTGAATGTTATTTTGTTATAGACAGAAGATCCTACACTCTTTGCCCTCTTTTTCTTGTTTTTATCGCAAGGAAGGATGGCTGAGTGGTTACAATGCTCTTCTGGAAGTCAACAATCTGTTTCTAATTCCACCTCTGCAAATGATTTTTTGGGTGACATTTATCTTGTATATCCCACCCCCTGTAAAGTTGGGGTAATCTCCTTTTTATAAAGTGCTTTGATATGCTCTAAAAAGCATTGGATAAGGGCTAAGAGACTATCACTATATCCCCTTACCTTAGGCTCCTTGAGGTAAACAATTTTAATCTTTTGTATGAGAATATTTTTGAAGCCCTTAATTATTTTTGTTACCTGTCTCAATCCTTTCTGAAGTATGATGACCAGAATTCCACACAGTATTTGACTACAGATTTACAGAAAGACAGAGCCTTGTAAGAAATCTTTCATTTTGGCACCAGTTTCTTACAGTCCAGTGTATTCAGAACGTCGCTGTCGCTTCCTAAATCCCCTTCTGCAAAACTTTCTCCTTGCTTCTACTTCTCACACATTTAGGAGTTCTGCTCCATTGACTCAGTCCCTGTGTGATTACTCAACATCTTTTCCTCCCTGCTAGATGTTTTTCTCTGGAATTTCCTGTTGCATCAAAGGCATAAACCCTCTCTAAGAAATGTTTCTTCCCTTTCAGCCATTTGGTGGAGCAAAGACTGAGGTAAGAAGACCTCATGATAATTTGGGCTACTATTTCTTTCCTTCACTGATGGAGAAAGGCTTGTTTGTTGACATGACTTGAAATAAGCATAACCTAAACCTGGGAGCCAGCTTGGATGTAGCTGGAGGACCATGGCCCAACTCGAAGTTTTCACAGAACTACTGAGGTGGGAAGGCACCTCTGGAGATTATCTACTCCAACCACATGTTGAGAGCAGGGTCAGCTACAGACATAGGCTTAGTCCAGTTAGGTTTTGAGTATCTTCAAGAATAGAGACTCCACAAACTCTAGGAGCAACCTATCCCAGTGTTTGACTACCCTCACAGTAAAAAGGTTTTTCTTATGTTTAAATGGAATTTCCTGTATTTCAATTTGTGCTTCTTCCTTCTTCTCCTCTTATTGGATATCACTGAGAAGAGCCTGGCTCTGTCTTATTTACTCCCTCCTATCAGATGTTTATAGACACTGATAAGATCCCGCCTGAACCTTCTCCAGACTGACAGTCCCAGCTCTCTCAGCCTCTCTTTGTATATCAGATGCTCAAAGCTCTTAATCATCATTGTGACCCTTGGCTGGACTTGATCCAGTATGTCCACATCTCACTTGTCCCAGGGAGCCCAGGGCTGGACACAGCACTCCAGATCTGTGTCACCAGTGCTGACTGAACAGCAATAGTCATCTGCCTCGACCTGCTGGCAACACTTTGTAATGCAGACCAAGAGGCTGTCGACTGACTTTGCTGCAAGGACGTACAGAGTGGGGTCATGTTCAACTTGGTGTCCATCAGGATGCCAACATCCTTTGCTAGAATACTGCCTTCCAGCTGGTTGGTGCCCAGCCTGTATGTACTGGTGCATAGGGTTATTCCTCCTCTGGTACAGAATTTTGCATTTCCCTTTGTCACGCTTCATGAAATTCTTGCCAATCCATTTCTCCAGCCTGTCAAGGTTTTTCTGAAGGAACCGTCTGCTGTATTAACCACTGCTTCCACTTTTCTATCATCTACAAACTTGCTGAGAGTGTACTCTGTCCCATTATCCAAGCCATTAATGATGTTACACAGTACTGGCCCCAGTATTGACCCGTGGCATTAGAGACAAACCTCCAGCTGGACTTGATGCTGCTGACCACAACACTTGAAGCCTGTCAGTTCAGTCAGTTTTGAATCCACCTCCTCTCCACCTATCTTCATTCATTTTGACAGTGTCAAAAACTTTGCTAATATCAAGATAAAAACCAGTGACTGCTCTCCCCTTGTCCACCAAGATGAACCTTTCCGTGTCCAGCAGAAGACTCAAATTTTCCCTAGCCTTCCTTTTGCTGCTGATATAGAAGTCCCACTGATACCCTTTAAATCCCACGCTTAGCTCCTGGTGGGCTTCTGTTTTTCTAACTCTGTCCCTGCATGTTTGGACACTCTCTCCATATTCCCCTTCCAGCCTCTGCACTGGGTCAACTGATGCTGCTTCCACCTCTTTTATGTTTCCTTTCTATGTCTCAGTTTTACCAGGAGCTCCTTGTTCATCCATGCAGGCCTCCTGCCACCTTTCCTTGACTTCCTACATGTCAGGATGAACAGTTTATGAGCTTGAAGGAGGTGATCCTGGAGAATCACTGCTTTTCCTGGACTCTTCTCCAGGATCATTTCCTATGGAGTTCTTCCAAGCAGATCCCTGAAAAGGCTGAAGGCTGCTCTCCTGAGGTTCAGGGTTGTAGTTCTGGTATTTGCCTTGTCTGTTCTGTCATATTCTTAAAAACTAGTTTTCTCTTCAAAGCTGTGAGTGTTTACTGGCAATATGAAGCTAGCCCACTTTTGCCTTCTGGAACTCATTTGGATATGCCATAATTTTGTTCGTTGAAAATATTGAGAGCAGCTGAATTTTTATTATCAAGACATTTAACCTTCCCTTGGGGGTTATATTAGGTATGAGCAATACGAAGAAAAGTGCCTCAAAAGTCTACATAGGGATAATCAAATCATACCCTTAACATAGATGGCATCTAATTGAAGTGAATTACCTTTTCTATCAACAGTGTTTGAAATGAAAAATTGGACCGATTTAGTATTAAGACTTGGTGAGTAAGTATTTTTTATACACTTTCATGGTGCTAAACATCTATGAGATGGTCTTCAGAAAAAAGTTTTTCCTTATCACACTAATTATTTTCCATTTTCAGACTCCAGCCATTCTTCATCTTTTATTCTACAGCACTAGACATGTCACACAAAGTCCCAGCATACTTCTGTAGTTGTGCAATGATCTGCATTCAGAAAAAAGCCTTATGTTTTCAATCCTAAGCAATTCATATTATGCAGGATTCTGGATACGATTATATGATTTCTAAAAATAATCTGTAATGGAGAGAGTAGGATATGTTATATTGTTAAAAAAGCAGACATTAGACATGCAGCCTGATTAGCTAAGATACAGTAGAGGCATTAACTCTCTTGAAACATCATATAAAAGAAACACAGCACTTACAGAGAAATAAATCCCTTCACCTCCTATACATGGCTTATTTCATTTTCATCTTATATTAGCAATAAGAACATCAGAGGAAGGTACTTCCTGTGGATTAATGCTTGGCTGGGTTAATAACCTTGGGTTGTGCCCACAGCTATCAGCTTTACTCAACCCTTCATTGGACTCCTGGAAATGCTGCACATTCCCATTGTTTTACAGCAGTGGAGAACAGAAAAGACTAGGAAGTATTTTCCTGCATTCACCAGAATTATGTTTGTGGCAAATGACTTCAGAAAAATGACTGTGGCATCAGTTGCAAACAGGATTTTTAGCTGTACCAACAACTTGGAGATACAGGCAGATGCCTATCCTACAGCCTTGTTTATAATTCTGAAGGCATTCGTGAGAAACAGCATTTCTTCACTATATCATTTTTAAAGTAGCATATGTTTAAATATTCAGCATTTACTGTAAGCATCAGGACCTGTGGTTTGCAATTCAAGCTGAGGACTGAGAGGAAGGGGAAGAAGGAATTTGGTATTTGTGAATGTCAGTGCCTAATGACCAACGGCCGGGAGCCCAGCCCTAGCTACATTGGCCCTTTGAGCTTCTCCCTGTGGTAGAACAAGCTGAGCTTGCTCTTAGGTGCATCGCCGAGACAGCTATGTGCCAATATCATGGCAAGCAGGCAAAATGTGACGGTCCCCTGTGTTGCCTGGGTGGTAGATCCCTTCTGGTGTATTTATTAAGGCTTCTCTCTCCCTACACACTTTTGGTTTACAAATAGATTTTTGAACTGAAGCCTTTGTTTCCTTTAATGTTTGTGAGACATAGGTGCATCCAGAAATGAAGAAAAGTGTTCCCAATAAATATTCAGTGCAGTGTTTCCCCAGGTACAATTGAGACAAACAGAAATAATGTGGGAAGTGCTGGG